TGCTGACTCCAAGGGAGTTGAGGGCAACCTGTTCCGGTGGGGATATCTCTATCGTTGATGCGTAAAACTGGGCGAGATGTGTCCTCCCTCGTTAGTAGTCAATGGCTTTTTGAACTGATAACCGTATTTGGCAAGTGTTGGCACCCACTCAAACTTCTTCGGCAACAAACGCCCCGTGTGAGACCCTGTGGGTAAGAGAGGAAGCCTGCGCGCGAGGGTGGTGTAGAGCAACTCTCATCGCCAGAGGGATGGCTTTTAACCCTTGCTCAAGAACGTAGGAAAAGCACCTGAAAAGGTATAGATATCAACAGATAAAGGTGAGGTACTCTGAGAAGTAATACTTTAGTTGGGCTTTTTTGGTGTCTAGTGAAAACTCAGAATATATGTGCATTAGCGTACAGCTTCTGGGGACAACCCCATGGTCTTGCATTTTATTGAAAGCTAAAATTAAGAGTACGGATAGTTTGCAAGATTAAGTTATTCACTGTTACGAATAACTTCTTTCCTACCACAAATTTTCTTGATACCGTTTTTTTAGAGTGGTCACTCCATAGCACAATTTCAGTTTTTTCCTCCGTCTTTCTTTATCTTGCGTACTTAGGCTACAATCACATCTCCATGGAATTAAAAAAACGCTCTTCCTAAAATTGTATTCATTTATAATTAATGTTAGTGGGGAGGAAAGTCAGTATTAGGCAGGGCAGGCCTTGTGCAGATTTATCTATGCATTGCAAATAGCTCTTGGCTTCGAAACAAGACATCTTGCTCCAGAAACTACAGACTGGTGAACAGTAAGTCCAGTCTGCAGGGTTTTTTTTTGGTTTGTTTTCTTGGGAGGGGAGGGAGTTCTTTGTTTGATTGTTTGTTTGTTTTCCGATTCACATAAAAATAGGTGAAAAGAATTTCTCTCGTGAGCACAACCCCGCCAGCCTGCTTTGCCTTCGCTTATGGTGCCTGTTTCCCTCTCCCAGCACGAGTCGGTGCTGTTCCTGGTAATGCCGCTTCTCAGCTTGGCCCTTCCCAGCTAAGATTAAATTCAGGATGTCTTGGCAATTTTCCGCTCGTCTCTTCGACGTTGGTCCTTCGCAAACTCCCGCTGGAGGTGCCAGCACCCGAGAGTGCGTACGAATGGGAATCAGTCCTAGTGGAGAAATGACACCGGGTGCTGGGAGCTACCAGGTGCTCAGCTCCTTCCAAAATCAACTAGAAATATCTAAGAACCAAAATTCAAGGAGAAAATGGGCAGTAAGGGGAAAAGGGTCAAAACATTTTTGACTAGGAAGAAGTTGGCTCTTTTAGAAGTTCTTTTTACTGCTTTCCCCAGCTTTCTTTTCCGCTTGTTTTCCTGCAGCGTTGACTCCAGCGGCAGCTCTTTATCTCATTTTTAGCTCCCCGGATCCACGCTGAAGCCCCTGACTCTGCTCAGCAGCTCGGGTTTAGCCGTTCCTGGCAACGTGCTTCACCGATATTTTCTACCCTTGATCCGGTCCGTGGCTGGGAGTTGTTGCATGGCAAATGCTGGTGCGAGGAGGTTTTGGTTGCCCACCTGAGCTCAGTAGCTGCTGACTCCTCTTCTGCACGTGGGATGGAAATGGGGTAGAAACGTGCTCAATGGGGACTTTAGTCACTGTCCGGAGAAAAGTCAGCTCTTACTCAGGGCAAATAATGACCTCAGAACCGCATTAGTTTATTCTGCCGGCCTTATTTAGATATTATTATGTCTCCAAAAGCATGGTTTGTAGATGACCTTTCCTAACCAGCAAAGCTGGAGCATGGCTTTGGTTTCTTACCAGCTTTTCTGCATCCCACCGCAAGCTTTTTGGAAAGGCGCCAGTGAGGGCAGGCAACGCATCCGGCGAACTCGCCCAGGACCAGGACCAGGATTGGGATGGGGACTGAGACTGGGACAAGGACCAGGCCCTCCCATCGTGGTATTTGCTGTTCTCGCGCCGAAAGGAAGAAACGAGCTTTCTTCTCGATGAGCATGTGCCCAGCAGCGGAGGTCGTTTTCCAGCTCCGTGGGGTTTATCCAGGTGGGAAGGGAGCCGCGGCACTTCTTGCTAGCAAGCCTGAATTGTGCCGTAAAGCCAACGTTTCGGTCATCTCAGCCACTGTGCAGACACGAGGGAATTATTTGCAAGATAATGCTCACAAACCTGTTTTTTCCCCTTTTAGCCTGCTATAACATGCTATTTGCCTTGCTAGCTTATACAGGGCCACACAGGCAATAGGAGCCTTTCCCAAAGTAAATGATATTAGATGTAATTTTTTTTCCCCGGGGAAGTGAAAAAGGAAACAAGTCCCACATGACCGACGCGTTTACGCTCCTAGAAAGTGCCGGGGTTTGAGCTGCGCAGATCTTCGTGAGAGCAGGGAAAATACGTGAACCCTCGTAGGGTTTATCGACTGCTGGGTTGAGACCCTGAATCTCCTCAGGTAGCTAAATCTGGTTCCTACTAACTGGGAATTAGGTAGCTGGCATATGAATAAATCCCCCCCCCCTTTTTTTTTTCGAGTAAAAATATACCTCTTTGTCATTCCAAACCGCCAAGCACAGTCGTTCGGTGCATCCTCAGAAAATCTTTTTGCCAGGAAAAAAAGATCAGGGGAAACTCTGCATCAAGGTGTCACGTGGCAAAGGTTCCTGGCACTTTGGCTGGTTTTATTTTCCGTAAAATAAAGCTTTGAGAGCAAAATCTTCCAGTTCCCTTTGGAAAAGTGTTTGGCCCCAAGGCCATGATTTGGAGGGGCAGCGGCAGGGGGGATGGGGCGGCAGGCGGGGAAAATCGGGCTCCTCAGAGCGGCTGTGGCTGGTATCGGTGCCCCTGAGGCGGGAACGGTCGAGAATGGTCGAGAATGATTGAGAACAGTTGAGAAAGGTCAAAAATGGTCGAGAATGGTCAAGAACGGTTGAGGACTATTGAGAATGGTCAAGAAAAGTCAAAAAATGGTCGGGAATGGTCGAGAACAGTTGAGAAAGGTCAAAAATGGTCGAGAATGGTCAAGAACGGTTGAGGACTATTGAGAATGGTCAAGAAAAGTCAAAAAATGGTCGGGAATGGTCGAGAACAGTTGAGAAAGGTCAAAAATGGTCGAGAATGGTCAAGAACGGTTGAGGACTATTGAGAATGGTCAAGAAAAGTCAAAAAATGGTGGAGAATGGTTGAGAACGGTCGGACATGGTCAAGAACGGTTGAGAAAGGTCAAAAGGGATTGCGTATGGTCAAAAATGGTTGAGAACTATTGAGAATGGTTAAGAAAGATCAAAAAACGGTCAGGAATTATCGAGAATGGTTGGGAATGGTTGAGAACGGTCGAGAACAGTCGAGAATGGTCAAGAACAGTTGAAAATGGTCAAGAATGGTCAGGAATGGTCGGTGGGCATAAAGTTGAAGGCAGAGCACATACCTTTGAGCTCATAAAAGCTCAAAGCTTAAAAAATAAGAAAAAATCCCCCAA